CCTGTATTACCAGACCTCTTCTTTTCCTCGACAATCAAACCAAGTTGCTCATATCGCATTTGGTGGGTGATGTAAGTAGTAATGCGCTAAGTAATGAAACTCTTATATCGCCGCGCGATCGTATGGTTAACGTTTTTCAGTTTCAGACCTCTTCACTTAGTAATACTAATTCCTGATTACTAAAATCTGCCGAGATTTACTGAACTCCAACTACAAATATTGGCGATTTAAGTATTCTTGAAACGAAAAATTCACTACGTTTTTTAGAAAGGCATTTTTATCCGTGTTTCATGCGATTTGATCACTTTTGGCGGAAAAATTTTTTTACATTTTCGAAATTTTTATTAGTCTCGAAAAAAAAATGTAAGTGAAAAATTTTAAATTTTTTTCTAAAAACTACTTTTCTCCGTGTTTTAAGCTATTCCGATCATTTTTAGCCAATAAAAATTTTTTAGAATTTTGCTAATTAGTTAATTGATAATTATCTAATTAACTTATTATCTGACGTAAAAATTGTTTGGACAAAAGTTTTTCTTCCTGATAATATGAACACACTCGATTGATCCGCAACCTTTTACGATGTTCACAACTAAAGATATTCGACAAACAAAAAAGGTGGTAAAAAGTGGTAAAGTGGCAAAAAGTGGCCTTAAGACAAGTGGAAAAGTTTGGAAAAGTTGGTCAGCCATAAAGGGCACCTAATGGGACTCAAAAACGTCAAAAAACCTCTGAAAGCTTTGAGTGTCAGCAGATCGATTTTTTTAGACGGATCTGTCTGTACTAACAGTGTATCTAGTTGTTATAATAACATTGTATCTGAGGGTTTACTTCCAATCATAAAGGAGAGGAGACGTGATACGAACGATACTAGCATATGGATACTGTGTGACACGGGACATTCTGCTTGTGATATGATTTATGGTAACACTAACAATACTGACAAGTTGGAAGCTTATGGTGTTACCACTAAATTGGGCATACAAGAAAGCCGTTTTACGGGTGTCCGGAAAGAATTCGAAAGCCACTTCGTGAAATCGAATCAATTGACAGTTAATCTGAGAAACGCTTATGAAATTTCGTCCATGTTATCTATAATTAGAAGACATCACGAAGATAGAAGTTTTCCTTTAAGATCTATGATTAGAAAAGAAGAAATGAATTCTCCTTTTTCTTCCAGTTTGCAATCTTATTGGGCAAAACAAGAGACAGGACACTTCCTTCGAGGCAGCAAACCTGTAATCTACCTAGTGAGAGATGATGATCCACCAATAAGGTTAGGACACCGGAGAGCTCCGTTTATAAGTATTCTGATAAAAGAACTAGAGAAACTAAAGGGACACTACAGCCATCTCAAAAATAAAGATATTGCAGTTTTACTCATAGATGAGGGGTTCCCGATGGAACAAACACGAGATGATCTTAAAGAGGGTGAGATTAAGAGATGGAGTACCACAGATGACCCTGTAGCGGTGCTCAAGGGACATGCCTGTTGGTCCGCTGAGTGGCCAGCAGTAATCGGTATATGGAGATCTAGTTTTGCCTCGGGTCCCCTGAGTCGTCAGATACTTTATAACCTAATTTCCAGAGCAAGAGTTTATTCAACGATGATTGTGTATGACTACAAACCAAACAGCTGTCGTGGTACCGAGAAACTATTTGAGGAATTAAGACAGCGTCGTGACTTGTGTAGGATAATTGAAGTTGACTACACAAAACAACCTTACGAGCAAAAAATAGTCCAACAGTACGTTTTTCAGTGATTATTATGTACACAAAAATAATTACTTAACCCTAATTCCATTAGGAGAGCACAATATTAGAATATTGTACCTATAATCAGTATAATGGGAGTTGACTGATTAATTAATTAATGTTAAATATCTTCATTATTTCAGTGATATCTTTGTAGCATTCCTTGTCAACCGTATATATTTTAATTGCCTTGGTAAAATTTCGGACAAATCTTACGAAGTAAAAGATTTTTGAAATTTAAAACTCAAAAATTATATCCAGCAACCTTAAATTAATGGTTCTGATAGAATTTAAATTTAGATATCATACTTTAAGTTGTGCGTCAAATTTAGGATTTCAAGTCGGCAATTTTCATCGTAAAAATCCTTGGAATAACTGCAGTACCAAAGTTTAAGAATAGAGGCTTTTATGAGCAAACACACAATTTGGTAATTTCTTAATTTAACCCCATGTATGAAGCACCTCTGTGACATGTGCAAATGTTTTGAGCCTTTCACTCCTTAATATTCCATTTTTCAGGAGCCATTCGTTGAAGCTGAACTTCAAAACAGCCGTGTCCAATTTCCACATAATATTTATGATTCTTCAATGATTCAAGTGAGCTTGGTAACAATGTTTTCACAGAAATCCTGCATACATTTGCACACTTTATTCCGCATATTCTCATAATATTTGTGCTCTGGGCAGGTCACAAACATTTTGCAGTATGTTTTAGATATGAAAATGTTTGTGGTATGCCGTATATTTAATGGTAGGCGATTTTTGGAGCAACATTTGTTACTGAAACGAGGTAATTGGCTTTTTAGGGGGGAAAAGTTATTACATTATGAACAAAATATCTACATACCCTCTCCTTTAGATGGCAGTTGATCTCGTCACTGAAACGATAAACAGTTTAAAACTTTGCTTCTCCGACAATCAGGTGGCAACAGTTCAATAATATCTTCATGTTTTAACTTGAAGCGTCGTGTGCTGCTAGCTTTGTCTAATGATCTATTACCAAGCTAGCTGATCTTGAGTCGGATCTCCTTCATGATTCATACGACGTGCAAGCCAATTGCAACAAACGTCTATCCCGCAGTTACAATTCACAACTCATCGCCGGCCGGTCACAATTTTGATTTTTCGCGAGCATCTTATCGTAGTTCTGATGTTATGTTGTAGCATCTGAATTTGAGTGTCGAGCATATCTAGCAAGCAAGTGGCCCAACACTGCACATGTGCGCGGCGCGAGCGCAACTAACTTTTGTCAAACTGACTGCCCAACGCCTTACATTTTATCATTAGAATATAGTTGCGCCTGCGGTAAAAATAGCCAAAATTTTCAGCATAAACCACTTTGAGTGCGCTGGTCATGCGCTTTAACCCCAAGAAGGTGAGAGATGGTGATTTATCGCGTGTGAATATGTTATAATGCAATGGGAGTTGATTATAATGGGAATATATTAACAAGTAACGACTGACATATCACTGATTTATACAGAATAGGCTTCAGAGCGTACTAATTTAAGAATTTGAAGAAGGGTAGCGGAGATTGGTAAAATTTAACGCGGGAGGTAGCTTTACCAAGTGCCAGACTCTAGTCGACTAGTCTAACCCTTACGCAGAGCCCATTACTTCATAATTCGTTTATGCCCAACCTTAAACCCATAATTCCAGCCCTATTTTAACTTATTAACGCTCACTACAGCTGAGGGTCACCCCGGACCCTTGATAGTGGGCAGTAAGGAGCAACTAAAGACATAACTCCTCTGCAGACTGCAAGCGGAAACAAGAACTTATACTGGAGCCTAACCTAAGTATTGCGGAGTCTATTAAAGAGCCTTATAATCAACCATCCTGGGTCCGCTGTATAACTCGTATTATTCTTCTTTTGGCGTATTATACGTTTCATTTGTCGTATTTTACTTTCGGTATATATGGACAGCATAATAACGGGTAATAACCATAGCATAGGTTGATCTTACCCCTGTAGTTGCCACAGATTTGAAAACCAGGGGAACCACTCAGCTGTACCATCACTATACACCAGACACACAGCCAGTTTATACTCAAGTATCTGCTACATCTTCCCACAATTAAACAATTGGACCACGCCACAAGGCAGAAAGCTCCACAATATCGTGTTAAATATTAAAATACACTCCATCACTCACTCACACACACACGTTGAATAGACTTTAGTGCGATGAGGTGAAGAACAATGGGGCAAATGAGCATGTTGTTTCTAAATAATAATACTCCACCGCGTCAAGTCTTATTGTCAACTCTATTTACGATAAATTACAGTTGATAGTATATTTATTGTACTGCATGCTACTATAGTACTATCAGACATGAAATTTACAGGTGTTACTGCACAGGTCTGATATAACGGTGAGGATAATACTGTGTGGTTGTGGGGGGATGAGAGTTGTGTATCAAGGATGCATGTTGGGAGATTCACAACAAACATTAGCAGACTTTGATGCTGGGATGAAAACGTGTGCGGAGGAGATTGAGATGAAATTATTGTCACCTACTCTGTTGCTAGGACTGCAATCATAGATCAAACCATGCTCGTGTAAAATTTACACAGGATTACACAGGATTACAGATTACAATTAAATTATAGGCCCACTATCGTGAACCGTCATAATTGTGCACAATTGGATATAAACATATCATCAAAGTTGGTTTGGAATCAGAGCCAGGCTTAGCCTTCGCGAGGTTCTCACCATTTTGATGTTAGAGATTTATTTCATTATTTTATTGACGTCATCTTATGACTGGATCTGGTTTTGGTCAGATGAAAATAGGTGGTAAATGTTAAATCACAGTCGCTAGTCTTGAAATTACTTAACGAGCCTGCACGATGGTTACCTGAAAATGGAGAACATTCGTGTTTTAACCGGAAGATAATGCTCACCTAATTTGAAGGCAGAAGACGAGACCTTTATGGAATAAACCTGCAGACGCGGGAATTTTAAAAATGCCTCCCAGTCAAAGTGCCCGGAGTGACTAGTCGGTATATTTAATATGGAATCTGGATCTATTTCTCTATGAGGTGTATTGTTTAGGAAACTGTCTCGAGTGTGTGCAGCACAGGAAACATTTGCTCGTTACACACACGTTACACACCCCCTGGACTCTACATACTGGACCCAGGGTAGCATAACTCCTTATACTGTGACTTTTGCCAAATCACAGGACTAAATGAGTAGATCTGATCTTAATAGAAGTTTTATAAATTGTACAAGGTTTACAAAAATAGTTCTATAAAAATAGATCTTTATTTCGCAGTAGATAATGACAGGTGTACTGAAAACTAAAAACCGATATCCGAAGATCTGTCCGTTACCACTAGTACTACCAGTATAATGTATGAAGTTTTAACTGTGATCTAAAATATGTGACCGTCCTAGATTCTACTCAAAATACATCTTGTAGTTATACTCGAAATCGGAAGACAGTACTTGTTAATACTAATACGTTATAGTACTCAGTACTTTAGTGTATTACAGTATAATGGTGCAGCCGGAGACCCGACTATAACTGTTAAAGTAAGCATGCCAATGTATTAAGCAATTGCCAATTTTTGTGCTCTATTTCGAGACCAGATAAGTCTCATTATATTACGAATGACTTGATACATCTAAAACAGGTATCAGTAAAATCATACATTTCTGAAAGAAAATGAGTTGCAAAGTTATATAAAGAAACATTATTTATTAAAGCTGCTTTCTACCATGACTATCTGAGGTAAAACATGACGATTCAAATTGTTACAGATATAGTGGTTCTAAGGGTACAGTAGCCATACACTCTTATTCCTTTCCTCGCAATATTACGTGATCTCACAAAATACAACATTTTACCTCACAAAGTGTTCAAATATTTCCTGATCAGTAATCGGTATCCTGGTTACATCAACTATCTATACATTAGTTTAACCTTTGATGGCAATTCAGAGGGGTCAAGTTCCCCACTGCATGGCATTTAATCTAATTTCTTAGAGACTCTCAGTATATACCTAGTAGCTATGTGGCTGTATAATGTAATGTAAGGTAATGTCATTAATTATTAATTAGTAAGGATTTTATAAGGTCGTTTCTTCGCGACTTACTTTAATCGAATTATGAACATTTTGAATATCGACTAGCTTTAACTAAGGTCAGAAAGAAGAAGCCAAAGTATAATTTTAAACATGTTCTCCGAGTTTGGTTTCTTTGGAATAAAATCTCAACAAAATGCTCACTCAAAGAGTTTTATTTTCTATTTAACTAAGAATTATAACTTTTCGGACGAAGGTACAAGTACAATCTAATTTCGACAAATTTTAAAATGAACATCTCAGAGTAAATTGACAACAGATTATTTGATCATGATAATATACATCAAGATATGACTTGTTACTACAGGGATGCAACACTTGGAATTGCGGTGCAAACCCTACATAATCAGATTAGGGTCTGCAGGGTACTAGTGCTCTAGTATGAGAGCTTCTCCTGCTACCAGGGGAGTAGTAGGGTATCCTGCCATACCTATATTAACCCACTCAATATATCAACCCACTATTTAGATGCTCTGTCTGCAAATAACGTTCACTTCCAGACACATAAGCCAGCTGTAATTAATAAACGTCGTGGTTTCAATCTGTTCAAATTTAGTTTAAGGTCGATCCTTTACTCGAAATTAATGTATTCAAGCTATATTCAATTGTTTTGAACAATGTATCAAACTTCTCACCGCTCTTTAGCAAGGTGCCTTTTCTTCTACAGTTATCCCTCCAGACACATCTCACATTAGTCAAGAAGAAAATTAGACTTAGTGGTTTTCATTCTGTCTACGCTTGGTTTTAGGCAGACTCTCTGCATTCGATATTAATAGATTAAAAAGTCAATCTATTCATTTGCATTTTATATTTCCTTTGAGTAAGTGGCCTAATGAAATATTGAGGTTGGTGCTGGAAAATTTAAATATAGATGTTGCAGTACAGGAGTAGCTGTTCGTCAATTTTCTTTCTCTGCTCGACTAAGTGATGAATCGTTTAACTTTTTAGGGTAAAACTTTAATGAAGTAATTTTCTGATAGACACGTCTATAATCATCTGAGAACTTACTTACTAAAGTTTGACTCAAAACGATTCATCACGTCTTAGTCTAACATAGAGAGAAGATCGATCGACAGTTCTTATTGCCGCTGTTATGACATAGCTCACTAAGTAATATGTATTGGGTGGAAAGGTAAGTTTTAAAGGAACAGCAGGCTGCCAGGCTAAGTCATTTGGATTGAATACATCTATTTAACAAGTAATAGAATTTAATGCACATCTGGAATGCATTGATCTAATAAATGACATCGAATTGAATAATAAATATGAGTTTGGTAATGGTTCTTGATTCTTCTCATAAACACATTACGAATTATATGGGACAGAAAACCCAATACACGTTACTGAACACATGTGACATGGCGTTACCATAGCAGCGATCTAGAGTCAATTACCATTTGTAGTTTTAAAACTCAAAAGAGACCTGTGTATAACAACATACATGGCAAATCCCAGATAATCATTTCAGGATCCACAATGACAGACAAATTTACAGACGATTCGTTTACGAGGCTAAGAGTGGGGAGGGTTTGATTGATTTTACACATACCCCATGAGGTTTAAGAGATCACGTGATGTGGTCACGTGTTAGAGATCTCCTAACCAGCTCCACTCCCTGACATAAAGAGCTGGTGACGCAAATGATATTGAGTTTAGGCTGTCAAATTAGGCACTGTTATAAAGTAGGGTAACCTTCACCCCCGGTTATTGGAGAGTAATACCAGTACTGCTACTACTAATACCAGTATAAGTACTACAGTGAGTGTACAGGAGTAATACCAACTCTGTACTACAGTGAGTGTACAAGAGTAATACCAGTACCAGTACAACAGTGAGTGTACAAGAGTAATACCAGTACCAGTACAACAGTGAGTGTACAAGAGTAATACCAGTACCAGTACTACAGTGAGTGTACAAGAGTAATACCAGTACCAGTACAACAGTGAGTGTACAAGAGTAATACCAGTACCAGTACAACAGTGAGTGTACAAGAGTAATACCAGTACCAGTACAACAGTGAGTGTACAAGAGTAATACCAGTACCAGTACTACAGTGAGTGTACAAGAGTAATACCAACTCTGTACTACAGTGAGTGTACAGGAGTAATATCAGTAGTCAGTACCAGTACTACATTAAGTGTACAGGAGTAATAATTTAATATGGTTAAAACATGATATTTACTGTTTAGCAAATGTACAAGAGTTAAACTCAAGGTGATTTGTCATGTTAGAGTTGTGAAGGATTAGGTATAATAAGCTGGTCTCGGTGAATGTAGGCGCTTCATTTATACCTTTGGTATAATGAGAAATATTGTGCAACGGTAACCTTGCTAGACAAGAATTACTGCATGCAGACAGGATCGAGTTGAGATTCTGGTGATTTTGGTGATTTTGGAGGCGGTCACGCAATGCAGGGTCAGTAAGCAGGCTTTAAAATTTTAGGCAATTTATCCTCGGATACTTCTAAATTAGGCACCGCTCGAAACTAAGTCAATATCTTATGCAAATCGCAAAACTATTAGACGGTCAAACCAAGACCAACCAGGGACAAAAGGAAATTGCGGCATGTGCGGGATCGCGATTTTTCCCATTTTTTGTGACAAATTTTATGTGTCGTCTGTTTGGCTTGTCGCGGTATCGTGATTTTTGGGCAAAATAATCGCGATTTTCTTTGCCCTGAGACCAACCAAAGAAAACTGAAAAATGTAACGTGTTCAATGTTCACAAACCTGTTTCTAAGACATTCAGCTAACTCCCCCTGTAATCCCTGAAGAAGCACCTGTAGATCTCCCACAGGATCACTGTTCCCTGTAAACAGGGGCACACACTCCGAGATCTGGGCTTCCAGTTCCGTCACTGCTGCCTCCATATCTGCCGGAATTTCTAAAATATCAGAGGTTAGCTTTGTAGTTAGGTATCTGAATGTATAACAGACACTCATGAAATGCAATGAAAAACTTGCGATATTTTCAATAGATCCACTGACCATAATACCAAATAATGAGTCATTAATTGCAATTCAGAGGCATTAGCTGCCGTTATAAATTATAATATAAGTAGCGGTTAAGCAAAAAACGGACGTCTTACCTTCATACCAAAACATGGCTAAGTCTACCGAAAAGTTGCGAAATAATACGTTTGTAACAGTAAGATTAAACAGACCACGTAAACACGGAGAAATTAATTCAAACGAAAGAGTTGATTATTTCGTATAGCGTAAGGCATGACACCAGCATGCATGGACAAATCATGTATAGATAAAAGGGATGATGTATAAATCCTTGATTAGACCTTAACAGTTCTATTGCAAGTGGTAGGAAGGAGGCGTAACGATTAGTCACATCTTGTTAAGTTGAGAGCGCTTTCTCAGACATCAGTGCAAACATTAGGGTAATAGTTTGGCCATTTCATGTCACATGTAATGTCACGAGTAATGTCACGTGTAATGTCACGTGTAATGTCACGTGTAATGTCACGTGTAATGTTGTAGGGTGTTTCATTGACACTTACCCGGGTTGTCTGTCTGCGTTTCAATCGGTGTTCCAACGCCCTGAAAATTTTTATCATTAAATTTGAAAAATTGGGCAATTTTATAATGATAAAAAGGCATTGGAGTTATACAGTCATCTCCAGGAGAAACCAAAATTGTGCAGTCGTGAAAGACTAATATAATAGAAAAAGGGATTATAAAAATTCTGCTCTTACCTTGCTTTGATAAACTCGAGGACATGCCAGATACTTGGCCACTCTCAGCTGATCAACAGCTATGAGGGCTCTCGAGTGCTCCCTCAGCAACTCACTGTAGTTCTTCTGAAGTGTGCTGTACGCATCGTCAGACCCAGGGGTATCTCTGCTACCACTCTCTGATGATTTTTTGTTGTGGTTTCCCACATTTTTCATCTCCCCTTGAGGATTGATTTGAGTGAGATCCATCATATTATACCGTATGGAAGGAAAATTATATTTCCAGGTTTCTATATATATTTTGTTGTGGTTATATAAATTTGTGATACTGTATCTTTCTTACTAAAAATGTTCCAAATCAATTGACAAGATAATTGATCACAATATGAAATGTTAAATACAACCTATTAAGATTAAATAGCCAGCCACATGGTATCAAATAATTGAAATCTTCATCTATGAAACCAAAAAATCTGTGGAATCCATCAAAAAATGAATTCAAACTTGTTCAACTAGTGAGATCTAAATCAAATGACAAAATAAAGAGGCAGTACACAGTAGAGTGCTGAAGCGATCGAATCATGCATCTGTAACCACAATACTATTTTCTTTCAATTCAAACTCAGCCTGATTTTGTAGTTAATGTTTCTGATAGGAGTCTATGCCTTGTTTAATTGACACTTTCAAAATACAGTTTTTAGAGCAACGATGCTACCAAAAAACTCAAGAATATTGAGTTCCAGTTGTGGTTTGTTTAATTAATGTTCATGGTTAAGCTTGAGTGGCCTCCTGTAGTTTTGGGTCTATCCCACTATGCTGTAACAGGAAAAACGGTAATAGAGACTGTTTCCTTAACTGATCAACATCTATAAGAGAGGGTTACTCAGTTACTTTGAACCCCTTTTGATTCTCAATGAAACAAGAAATTTCAATGAAACAAGAAATGCCAGGCATATTACATCTCTCAGTCGACCCTTGGCGTGATGTCAAACACCACTGTTAGTGGTGTAATAAAGGGCCCCGCTAACCACGCCATGCAGGGAGTGGGGTGGAGGCAGGGGGTGCAATCAGAGCTGAGGGGGTGCTTTATTTGAATTTATTTATGAATATAACATAATATGTATTGATTGTTTTGTGGTAAATAAACATTTTGTTTTTCTTATTCCAAAAAAATATTTGAGGGTGCAGCAAAGAGCTGTAGTATATATAAATAATCGATATGTAGCTGTGATGAACTAAATAATACACAAACATGGATGTAGCAGCTCAGCTTTTCAGCATGCTCCCATTGGAGCTCCGGGGTATCACAGTGCTAGACGGTTTCAAAGTTGGTCTAGGCAGATTTATAGAACAGTACCCCGACACACCACCTGCTCCAGGCTACATTTCGACAAACGATAACTCAATGCTGAGCTGTGAGCTGCAGGAGGACGCACTTGATGCAGTTGTCCTGAGCACACCCTGCTCACCAAAACGTACGTACATAACATAATTTTGCATTAAATAATAAAACTATTCAACTGCATCATAAACCGCATCATCATTCGCCATCGACTAGTTGTATGTGAAACATTTTACTGACAAATTAATAGTCTGAAATGTCTATCACTTCTCTCTATATGAGCACACATTATATTTTGTTAAAACTTTTAACAAGAAGCAATCCAGCTTGACCATGGCCAACCTGCTTTCCGGGAAAGATTCAAAGCTTGAAAGAATTAGCACATAGTGCGATGATATTTTGTGATGATGTGATGTCATAAATTTTACTTTACTTTACTTTATCCTTCAAAAAAATGGCAAAAACCGACCTTAAGAGCTAACTTTTGATTAATATAATAGCCTAGCAGTTAGAAAATATTTTATTAGCTTTAAAAATTATTGTTCCAACAAAAAGCTTAGTTAGGCCTAGGTCCCTTGGTATATAAGTAACGTGTATTAAATGAAAATCACTTTCGAGGCACCTCGACAAAACTCAAAAGCTACTCATGCTTTTTACGGAGAAATTATGCTTTTTACGGAGAAATAAGACAATAGTATTTTTGGCTTTGTTATATTTCTTTCAAAAGTATTCCAAAAGTATTCCAAGTCACAAGTGATTTATATAAGTGCAAAGAAGTGATTACAATGCACGCAATTTGCGAAGTGTGCTTTCGCTGGAGATATAAACGGTACCTTAAATAAATTACATATGTATCAAATTTTCATGCCATGTAATATCAAATATAAGCAAAAATATTCTGAAACTTGACTAAATTTTGAAATTCATAATCCCTAAAATTTATTTGTAGGTTTGTTGATTATAACCTAAATAAAAATGCGCGCCGAGTTGGACTCTTCACGTCGGATTTTACTAATTCACTCGCCAGCGCGCTATCACGTGTTTTTAATGCCGTGATTTCATTGGTCACCTCTATAACGCGCATTGTTTGTGACAGGACAGTTTTTTCACATAATTTGTCAACCGCGCGTGCAATAAACTCAATTTAAGCTCCGCTTTGTGACCGAAATGGGCCCTAATATGGAATTTATGCAACGCATGGCCGGTAATTAGCTAATTGAATTTTCGGCACAAGGACCAGGTTGCATATTACATATACTTAAATACAGTGTAACATATTTTATTATTTTATTATGTCAATTAATTATATTAATTACGTCGCAAGAATGTTATCTGGTTCTTGTACCAGCTAGCTGCATGTTTGAAGAATTAAAACAAAATTTTATGACGACTCGTCAATGAGCTGTTAGAATTATAATAACAACATGTAAAGATGTAAAGATGTAAAGATCGGTAATCTTTAATATAAACGCTACAGTTGATAAAATAAATGAAGGCAAAAAAAATCATTAACAAAATATATCGCTGATCGCCTTATAAAAGTGATAAAATAACTGCAGTTGTTAAATAGAACTCAAAGAGTCTGAATGAAATTAACAATATCGGGAGCAATTAACAGTAACTGACCAAAACCACTAATCAATCATTATATTTTGATACTTCAGATTCTGTAATTATACGATTTTCCTCAAACCTATATAATACCGACCATGATCGATATTTAAGTATAAGATAGCTTTATTAAAACTTTTAATCTGTGCATGGCAAGTGTGGGTGAACTCCTATGTGACAACTTTAATATCACTAAATATCTAAAAATCTCTAAATTTCTCTAAATGAAATTATCCATCGCATCATATTATTATTATATTAGTGGAACTATAAGTGCCTAATTCAGTGAGGATTTCTCTATTGCAGTTGGATTGCAAAATAAAACACGTGGCAGAAGCATGAACTCGCTCATCAAAACCGGCCGAATTATATAGTCAATTTAATTCTGAGCGCCAAACACGTATCCGATAGTAAACAACAAAATGTTAATTCTCTGTCTTCTCTGTTCTCTTTACCGAATCAAACGAGGAAAAAGTGGAATCGCAAATCCTAAAGTTTCAAAATTAAAGATATTTTTTGTGCTCAATATAACAGTGCATCATGGATATAATATTAATTATAAAGGCAGAATGGTCATAAATTTTTACTCGAAATCACTATCGCTGTGTTGACCAGTGTATTTCGGAAATAGTTTCCGCTTTTTCTTCGTTGGCTTTGGGAAAGTGGCTGCAAAATCGTCTCGGCGGATTTGGGCATTTTCTCCAAGCTTCCGAACCCTGAAAGAAATTGATATATTTAAATTTATTCAATAGTAGGAGCTGTTACGGGCATTTTCGGCTCGATACACCAGGGTCATCAGACATGTCTTAAAAGACGTATTTTTGGCCCCTGAATCGATTGGTGATAGTGGAAAGTGTTGAAAATGGGGTTAACCTGGTTTTATTTGAAAAAAACCGATTTTTGGCCCTAAAAATGGTCATTTTTTGAGGTTTTTCAAGATTATCGATAGGTTAATTTCAAGGAAAAGCTTAGATATTTCGGTTTCTGATACATTTTAATATGCCGCATTAGCTAATATTAAGTTCATAAGCGCACATAAGAGTTAACCTGGTCAAAATTTTAAAAAACCTTCCAAAAAAAATGTTTTTTTGCGCGCTAAATTTTATCGGCTCTTTATACATCCAAAATGAAATATTTTTGCTCACAAAGTGTTTTAATACTGTTCAATAATACTATTTGATAGTTTTTCAGCGTCAAAACAAGTTTTGAAAGCGGAAGCAAAAATTATATTTTTCGTGGTGCTGAGCACTTTGAAAATTTTTGAATAAAATCGAGCGCTACCGTAAAATTTTAGTAACCCTTCCCTGAAACTCATTTAAGTTTTTGTACCGTCAGTGTATTGTCCTTTTCTGAAGTTCATGCCTTCTCTGGCTTAATTTCATTTAATATTGTTTAATACAGTACAGTTTTTGTACCGTTAGTGTATTGTCCTTTTCTGAAGTTCATGCCTTCTCTGGCTTAATTTCATTTAATATTGTTTAATACAGTACAGTAAAGTGTTTTATAATAGTAGAGTGCCATTTCTAATACTTCAATGTTATATTGTTGAGATACCTTTACTTGGCTGTATACCTTTTGTTAATACAATTTCACCAATTTAGTATTGCATTGCTTATATGACTATTTGGATTTATAATTTATCGATTGTGGGTATGAATAAACTTTTGGTTCACAATCAACAATATAATGTCTACTGTGTGGTACCCTTACAAGATTAATTATAGATCTTTTGACAGGAATGCCTTACTTAAACCCCCTCATCCATCACTCATTCCGTGTTACCTGTTGGATGTGGAGGAACCCTACCACAAACTGAAATATTGTAAAGGTACCCTTCAGTACATAAATAGAGCACTGTAAATAATATAGATTAGTTACTGCTATCTTCTCAATGCAATTTTGAATACATGTCAGGAACACCTATCTTAAACCCCCTCATCCATCACTCATTCCGTGTTGCCTGTTGGATATGGAGGAAATCTACACCTCAAAGTGGAATATTGTAAAGGCACTCTTCAGTACACATAAAATAGAGCACTGTAAATAATATGGATTAGTTGCTGCTATCTTCTTAACATGATTTTGAATTTACAAATAGTAGTAGTGTCAGGGGCCTTTTATATATTATATTTGAGTATAATACATTTTACCTTATAATTAACCATCACTCCCGTCTAGGAAGTACTATGTATTTGTGTATGTAATTGAGATCGTATCAGCGCCTTTCATTCTACTCAACGCGTTTCATTCTACTCTAAACAAGC